CTCATCCCCATCCCGCTGCCTCACGGGCCCCGTGCTCACCATGATCCAGGGGTGGTTCATGAACTCCGTTATCGTCATGCGCTGGGTCGGGTCTGTCTTCAGCAGGTTGCGGATCAGCTGCTTAACTGGAAGGGTTCGCGTGGGGCTGGTAGCAGGTCCTGGTTTCTCCCCACACTCCAACCCAAGTCAGCAGCCCCAAAAAGCCTGCATGTGTCTCCCATCCCCTCCACACCACAGACCTCACCCCAGTCAAACCCTTCAGCAAAACCCTCTCAAACAAATAGGAGAAGCTGCTGCTACGCAGAGGTGACCCACGACGTGCCCAGGCTTTCCCCCCCCCAGCCTTCACAGCGCTGCTGGACACAGGACTGACCCCTAAAGGAGACCTCAGCCCAGGGACAAGCCACCACAGGGACCGTGTTTACCTTCCTCCGACACTTCGGACCATTCGGGGTTGGGAAACTCGTACTGGCCCATTCGGATTCGCTTCTTCATCCCGGGTGAGATGGCCAGGCCGTGGTTGGAGTAGAAGGGGGGGTACCCACACAGCCTGTGCCAGGAGAGGGAGCAGAAAGTCAGCGTGTCTCCCCAAAAGCCACCCCAGCAGCGCCTGCAGGGCACGAAGCAGTGCCAGGAGCAGGAACAGCTCAGCTGGGAAAGGCTCAGCCCCACCAGCCAGCAGACGAGCTCAAAAGATGCTGCATCTCCCCCGTGCTGATCCCGGCGGGATGGAGAGGGACCCATCGGACTTACAGAATGTACATGATGACACCGAGGGACCACATGTCGCAGGATTTGTCGTACTTCTCCGGGCCCAGCACCTCTGGGGCTGGTAAAGAGTGAAACAAAGTCCTGAGTCAAAGTGAGATGGATCTGACCAGCTCGTGGAACCACCAAAGAGCTGCCCATGGCCATGCAGGTGGAGCGGGGCAGGGTGCTGCCACCTCGCAGCCCCAAGCACAGCACAAGCAGGGCTGCAGCACGGCCATGCAACGTGTTGGCTGCTCACACCGACACCGCGCTCAGAGCAGCCCGTCCTGCGTGCACCAGCCAGCAGCAAACACAGCACCCACCTGCTCCCAAAGCAGCCCCCCGTCTCAAGCATCCCAGACAGGAACTGCTGTCCAACACCACACTGTGACTGAGGCTCCAGGCTGGATGCAGAGGTGATGGGCTGCACGTGGCACCATCCAAACCTCCCTGGCTCTGCAAACCTACAAGCCCAGGCCCCCCAGCCACTTACCCACATAGTACGGCGTGTAGCACGGAGTGGCCAAGGAGTTGTGCGTGGTGGTTTCTTTAGCAAAGCCAAAGTCCGTGAGTTTTAGCACAGCATTGGGCCTTTTGGAGGTGTACAAGAGGTTTTCCGGCTGTGAAAACACAGGGGAGAGGTGAGCAGAAGAGCCGGAGCAGCCTTGACGTTGCCACGGGCCAAGCGGGGCTCAGCACCGCCGGGCGAGCATGCAGCATGGTACCTTCACGTCCCGGTGCGCAATGTTGATCGAGTGCAGGTACTGGATGGCTTCCCCAATGCTCTTCATTATCTCTGAAGCCTCTGAAACAGAAAAAAAACATCAGAAGCCTTTATAGGCATGTGACAATGCGCACCACTCCCTGGGTTACTCTACAGACCAGGAGCCAAAGAGCATGGCTGAGGCCAAAGGGGTTTCCTCTACCTCAAGTGTCCCTTTCCAAGCAGGAGCCCCCTTAAGCACCCACCCCCAGGTTGGGAGCCTGCAGCAAACAGGACAGAAACTCCCAGGAGGGGAGACAGTGCAAACGCACAAGCCCCAAGCAGGGGCTTGCATGGGGTGGGGGGGCTGCCTCAGCCCCTGGCACTGCTTGGGACCCCCAATCTGCAGGGAAAACACCTGGCTAAGCTGTCCTCTATGGGATGTAGGGGCTCAGGGTTTGGGTTGTGTGGCCACTTTTCCTGGCCACGGGAGCAGAGGGGATGAGATTCAGGAGATCTATGAGAACAACAGTATTTGGTCTCCGATTTTTGGAAGGTGGGGGTGGGTCTTTCTGAAGGGGTCACAAGGTCACAAGCTCCTGCCTGTGCTGGAGTGGGACGGACAAAGCACAGGGGAAGCTGAGAAAGCATCCCCTAACCCTGCTCTCAAGTGCACTTGAAAAGGAGGGCCACTCGCATCCACATTCCTTGTTCCCCAAGAACAAAACCCCACTGAGGATTCACAGGGGCAACTGAGGGAATGAGCTGGACCAAAGACGCTCCTACAAACAGGAAGAAATGGTCCAAAGACAAAACCCCGGGTTCTTGCAGGCTCCGTACCCCGTTCTGTGAAGGCCTGGTCTCCCCTGTCTTGAATCCGGCTGAAGAGCTCCCCACCATCCAAGCTGGAAGAGAAGCAGCGGCGTCAGATGCTGCAGCACCCGTCTCACGCCGGCACAAGCGGTACCGAAACCTCTGACACTCAGCAAGAACCAGAGCCCTTCTCCATTCAGCCCTTGAGTCAGTGCTTCTGGGCACGGGGCGCTGCAGAGCCTCCTCCTTCCAGGAACGAACAGGGCAGAGGCTTCGTACTGGCAGCGGGGACGCCAAGTGTGAGCGGACGTGGTCTCCCCAACAGCCCACAGAAACACACTTACAGTAAAGGCGGCGAACGTGGCATGAAGGTGGCGCGGGCACTCCCGGCACACCCAGCCCCGTTCAGCTCACACGCCAACCACCTCGCTGGCACGCTGACCCCGTGCAGAAGGGCTGAGCAAAGACCGCAGCACAGGCGAGGTGTCAGCGGCACCGACACGGGCTCGCCGATGGGATGGGGGAGGCAGAGGCTGAACCCCACTGCAGCAGGGCAAGCTCTCACGTAAGGTGCTGGAGGAGGACCGTGGAAACCTCGGCGCAGCTCCCTCCCCAGCCAAAGGCCCCCCAGGTACCCTAAGGAAAAACCTGGCTCCCAGAGAGATCAGGGGTGAGATCTGGGGTAATTTTCCATGAGAACAGGGATAACGGCGCTTCCTGCCCCTGCCTTATCTAACTGGAGCAGAAACAGTTTCTGGCATTCCCAGCACAGATAGCATCTCCTGCCAGCGCCCTTGACGTTAGCTGGACATCTGCAATACAGATTGCACACAGCTGCCGGGCCCACGTCAGCGCAGAGTGTGCAAGGAGATGCACGGTGCTCACTCTGAAAGTCAAACACTGCCTGGTGACGGGCGTTACACCCGGAGCATCCCTCGGGCAGCAGGGACCCGCCGCACGGAGCTGTCGCTGCCCCAGGGACTCGCTTCCTACTGCTCAGCTACTGCTCTCTTCCCAAACGAGCAGATGCGCCGCACAAACCTTTCCCATCCCCGGTGTCCTGCTTTGTTCTCAGAAGCCTCTTCCCACACAAGAGCCACTCGGGCAACTGCCGTGCCGCCCGCCCCGGCGCTGCTCGCGGTGCTCCTCGCACCCGCTGCCCCCCCGGGCAACCTGCCCGCTTGCCAGAGGAGAGGTTTTGGCAAGGAAGCTGCATCAAATCACAGCTGCGGTTGGGATGTGGTTTCAATACTTTCCCCTTCATTCCTCCTCCTCCCCAGGTTGTATCAAACATCTGCCCCAACCGGAGCCGCTTGACTGCTGCTGCAAGAGGCACGATGGCGCCGGGGGGGGGGGCGGGAAAAAAAAAGGTCCTGCCCGGCCCAGCCAGCCCCCGCCGCAGGCTGCTGGGGTGCGGGGAACCCGCCGACTACTCCAACTTTCAATGGCCAAAGCCAGTTTGGTTATGACCGATCTGCAGCGAGAACCACAGGCCTGAAGCCTCCCAAGAGCCGAGCGAGTTTTCAGAATGACTCAGAGCCAGCGCAGCTCCCGCCGTCCCTCCAACACCAGCGGTGCAGCACCTCTCCCAGGGCCCGCATCCCTACAGCTCGCAGGCTGCATCCCCCAGCACAGCATCTCCCTGGGGTCCCCAGTACCCCGGCAGCGGCACAGGAAGGTGCTCACCCCCCCTTTCTGCATCGCCCCGCAGGGCTGCGGGTGCTTCTGCGGGGAGAGCCCACCACCACCGGGGACTCACCACTCCATGACGATGAGCAGACACTTCCTCCCCTGGTAGAGGTTCTCGTAGACGTCCATGATGCGGACGATGTGTGCGCACTGCGATGCCCTCCAGTGCAGCTCCACTTCCCTGCGGGCCTTCGGGCAGTCCTGCAGCATCTGCGAGAGAAGCAAGACCCCGTCAGCCCTGAGCCCCCCAGGAGAGCCGGGCCGTGACACCTCGCTGGCACCAGCGCCCACCCGGAGAAGATGCAGGGGCGAAGGGCGAGCATGGGTGCTCTCTGCGGGTGAAAGCGGGTTGAGCTCGGGCACTGTGCAATGCCTCCATCCCCATCTAGTGGGAAGAGCATGAAGCTGCCCATCCTCAGAAGCTTCTTGCCCTCCTCTCCAAGGCTGGTAAAAGCTCATCCCAGCTGTCTGCCACCTCCCTGCCCTCCAAGATGCCTCCCCAGTGCCCAGCCAGCCTAAGCCACCAACTAGTAAGACTTCCTACAAGCTTCTGCATGCTGGTATTTACACCACTGCACTCCTGGGTGCCACCAAGCTCCAGCCCCCTCTCCCCTTTGCACCCCTACAGCACCACTGCCCACCCATGGCCTCCCCTACATCAGCCTTCTGCTCCCTGGGACTGGCAGGACCCTCCTGCTCTGTGCCCTTACGCACGGGCTGGGCACAGAAGCACCCTCACGGTGGCTTCAGAAGTCACCAGCACCCAGCTGTGCGTGCCTGGGGAGGGACAAAGCAAACAGCCAGATGTTCCCTAAATAGCTGCTTTTCTCACAAGCAGCAGCAGCTCTTTGAGGCCCTGGCCCTTCCCAGGGACAACTCAGTTCCCAGGTGCAGGAAGGATTTGCTCGTCTGCCACAGACTATTAATTACCATGTTCGTCAGGATAAACAACCAGTCTTAATTATTATACTCCTAAATATAGAGTAACAAACGTCTCTGTCTTGAGCGTAGCTCATTTTCCTTCCTGTCCCTGGCAGCTCTCAGGGCCGGGCTCGGCGAGATGCCCCGGAGCAGGTCCGCACCTCGGTGCAGCAACGGGCAGGGGCACGTGGAAATGCATCCCACCCCTCCCCGGTGCATGGGCAGGAAACAGCAGGTTTGCTCATTTTACTGAGACAAAGGCAGAAATGTACTTATTGCCCCTCCGCCCTCTCCCCGCTGAGCTCCCGGGGCCGCTCGGTGGAGGAGAGCACCCAACTGGCAAGCAGAGATGCATCAGCCCCTGGATGCTTCGCTGGCTGGGCAGGACCCAAAAATCATGCCCAGTCCATGGCCAGGACCTCTCTGCCACAGCGGGGATATCACAGGAACAAGGGTTAACACTGGCTGCAGCCCCAAAAGACGCACGCTGCCCACTTATAAACGAAACACTCGCTGCCCACGCTCTGCCAGCCCTGGCAGAGTAACGGCAATTTGCATAAAAAAAACGGGGAAGGCCGTAGGGATGCACCCTTCGGCCAGCCACCCTTCGGCCACCCACCCGCAACTCCGATACGTGGCTGTTCGGTCACACCTCTCCCACCTCCCTGGCTCTCCTGCTTCCCCAGGTGGAGGAAACCTGTGCCGGTGGATGGGGTGTGGGGTGGCTCCTGGCATCCGACCATCCAGGAGCTCAGCAAAGACCAAAGTGGCCAAGACACTCTTTGCACAACCGTTCGACATTGTTTGCCCCAACAGCCTGGGGCCAAAAGGAAGGCAGGGCAGGAGGCTGGACAGCACCTCCTTGCTCCTCTATCACTTAATTACCCCAAAAAATGGATGCTGGCGAAGCTGAAGCCATAAGCAAGCGCAGCACCAGCCCCTCCAGCAGCCGGGCAAGCAGGGAAAGGGCTGGAGAAAAGCTTGGTTATTTGCAGCTCCACTCCAAGCAGCCTGGCATGGGGAGCCAGGAAGCTGGAGAGAAAAAAAAAAACAATTTGTAATTACACGCTGGGAAAATTGAACAGCAGGAAGCAGACGGTTAACATCATTCTGCACAAGACAAACAGGAGATGGACAGAAATATATATCCAATTTTTAGAGGTCACTCAGAGCGCTTTTAAAGGAGCTTAATTGTGTACGTAATGAACCAGGAGGCAGCAGCCTCCATTACCTGTACCAGCACGGCCCGACGTTTGCTTTTGTACCCAGGCACCCGCAGGCGAGCAAACAGCTGCCCCGGCGCTCTCAAAATACCCCAGCTGCAATCCAGCTGTGATCCAGCTGCACCGCCAGCCGACCCACCTCCGCTC